TAGGGAGAACGTAAAAATGAATGCCCGTTAATCTGTAAGCTTTATACAGAATAAATACGTGCGAGAAGACTACTATTAATCCCTGTTTAGCATTTTAAATAGTGTCATTAGACGGTTTGATTTTAAACGGTGGATAGGCAAAAATTAAGCGGTGGAAGGAGTTATATGGGCTTTGTAGAACGCGATATTTCAAACGTTTGAAATTTATGCATAAGATAAATCATGAGAAATCTTTTCATTTTTCATACGTAGCTAGAATGCATACAAAAACCGGTCATGTCTTTTTTTCACAACGCAAATATATACGTACATAGAAAGATTAAGGAGGAAGTCCATTGGACAAATAATATTACAAGAGGCACCCATAATATATTAAAATCGGGTAAAATTCATGTATAAAATTTATTTTATATCTATAACTCTTTACTGCTAATCCTTTCGTAACATTTAAGTTTTTAAATATTCTTTAGAATTTGGCAAAAAAACAGTGTTGTTGTTGTATTTTCAACTAAAAACACCTGCCATAATGTATTATGACATAACCTAGATGCTAGATCACCAATGTGAAAACAGTTTGCCGCCCACTGAAACAAAAGAGAGTAAAATCGATAATTTGAGACCTGCTCAAACATATTCTGGAAGGAGAAGCAAACGCATTCAAGATTGACACATTTAAATGTAAGTGAGTGGTGCTGTTTTTAAAAATAGAGTGATGTTTGTAGATTGTGCAGAAATACCCTTCTTTCATTTTCAGAAAAGGAGAAGTGTCTCCTTATTTTGAATGGCAAAAACTGGCATTTAAAAAATATATACAAAATTTATTTTGTTTGGACATAACACATAAGTATCAGCAGCAGCTGAATGAGTTTTAGAGTTACGCCACTTAGGAAGTTGAATTCCAATATTTTCTTTTTGTCCTTTCTCTTTAGTGAAATTCCTGCAATGAAACTAATAACCTGTAATGCCATTTTTCAAACATTTATGTAGAATGAATTTAATGACAATTTACATGTACTTCATTTGCATGAAAATTTTCTTATTCACTCTATACAACGAGAGTAAATTGGTTTTGTTTTAACATTTGTTACAAGTATTGCAAATTCTCGAAAAAATATCACAATTATCAAAACACGCTAACCTCAGATAATTAATGATAAAATGACCGGATACAATAGAATCAAAACACTGCTTCCATTGAATCCTTTAAGCAGATAAGGTTTGATGAAAAAGATTGGATATTAGGTATGATAAATGGTATCTTCATTCAAAGAACAGTTAGACCATTTGGCCATACTGTATATTATATTAGATCATTGGCAGCGCTTGGCTAGCTCATTGTTCCTAAACTTCCTATTGATCAGACAGAAAATACCATGGTATGGGTACCATGAATGCATATTCATAGATTCCATTGTGCCCAACTGATTTCTTTTGAAAGTGATTTGAATTTCAAAAGAGGTCAGTAGGGCACAACTGAATGTATTAATATACACACACACCCCAATTAACGTTCTAGTAATACCATGACCTCCATAGTATACCATGGTATTTTAAATACATACATGCCTGATAAAATAGGCGTTAAAAGTATGGAAATGCTCTATGCTCTCAATACTGTGGGCATCTTACTAAACAAAGTATCTGAGTAAGTACTTAATCAGTGTATAGGTAATAAATGCTATTTGACATCATATCACATTACTGATATCGCCATTAATGCTCAAAATATAAATAAACTATTACTGTCTACAATGCCTCACAGAAAGAGCATATTTTGTGAGCGACAGATATATTGCTGATGATATCCAGTATACTATTTGCGAGCTAAAAGATCTTTTGCGTTCTGGGTTCGGGTACTCTTTGTGTCAACAACAATCTAGGGATCCTATAAGGATAATGCAAACATCACATTTCGATTCAAAAAGCAAAAAACGCTCAACATGCCAAATGTATTAGCCTTGATAAGATAAACTAATGAGAATAAATGAAGAACAGCAAAGTTAGTAAGAACCTTACGAAAAAAACACACTTCTGGTGCAACACCAATATCATAGCTAAGTTTCGATCGACTGACCAATATCATAGCTTAGTTTCGATGAGCACCATCATGTTCTTGGTCTTAAGTGAGATTGCTTTATAGTATGAAAAATAATAGAAATATTAAAAAATCAAGATTAATCAAAATCATGATTATGTATAATTTTTTTAAAATAGCTGGGCTATCTTTGTCAATTAAAAAGAAGAAAATATACGTTTAGTTCGTAACCTGTTTGAAAGAGATCAACAGGAAATCCCATCCAAAATAGAAGAAATTAAAGACATATGCTCAAAAGAAAGACCGTCTATTTGAAATTTGATGGAAGATCTGAAGTTTTACAAATCAGAAAATTGATTTATAAAATAAGTGAATCTTACGTCTAAACTATCATCTCAGACTATCTAGAGTAAATATAAAAAGAACTCTAGCTCACATAGTACTAATTGAAGATATTCAAATATGCTTACAGAGGCGTAACTATAACGTTAAGTGGGGTGTTTGTGTATATTTATATATTCAGTTGTGCCTTTCTGACCTCTTTTGAAATTCAAATCACTTTCAAAAGAAATCAGTTGGGCACAATGAACTATGAATGCATCCCTCCCAATTAACATTCTAGTTACTCCTCTGTGTGCTATGGATCATACATAGGTTTCTGATACTCTGCATTAGATTCTTTTAATTCAAGCTAAAATCAGTGATCTTACGCATGAGTATTATTAGCCTTCATTGTAGATTTGTCAAATCATCTTTGAGACTTCAACAGTAAAAATAAAACTTCCTACAAAATGTACACAAACAGTAGAGGGTTTTAGCTGTTTGTAGGTGTTAGAGGAAACCTATGGGAAAAACTATAAGTGCACTGGAATTGTAGGGGAAAGAAAATCCTTTTAAAATGAGAAAGTCTGTTCTCATTTTTTGTCCAAAATACTCTTCTCTTCCTGTGTTCTTACTATTTGACAAGTGTTTGCAACAGAATCTTTCATTTGGGTCATTTTGTGACCATATATGGCAATAGAAGATTAGGAATTTAGCATAAATTGTGAATCATTTGCGTCACTTGTATTTGATTACTTCCTACGCCAAATTACTAACTTAATCATCCAGATGTTCTCAGTTTTCTATGTGATCTTATTTATGTATTACTTTTTCAATGAAACATAGGTATATAATAGGGGGATATGTTGCTGTGCAGTGGAAAAGTAGGGAAAACAAGGAAAATGGTCGTAGGGGGATTCTAAATTGTAGTAGGGGAAATGTGCATGTACAAAGAGGAAGCCTTTCTCAACACATTATATGCGCACTTGAAAGTCATTGTACAAAGAGTGCGTGACGGCACTTCAAATATGAGCCCAACATTCCTGTTTGGCACGAAATTATTTCAATACTTATTGCTTCAATACTTGCTCGCGTCTTTGAAGTTGTAATTTAATCCTTTGTTTAGAATTTTAGTTTGCTGTTAAGTTAGTGGTTTGCTTGAGATGTTTGTGACCCATTCGTTTGATTTAGGATGAAGTTGTTTGAATGATCTTGCTCCTGTAATTTCCGTTGGAGTTTGTGGTATCTTTTGTTCTATATGTGGATGTTGCTTTTTTCATATATTATTAGTATATTATTATTACTTTTATATATATTTATCAAACATTGCATTTTGTATTGCCACACGTAGCTTCCGTATGTGGTCTTTGATTAAAAATAATTTTTTGCCAAGAAAAAATTGTAAACAAAGCACTTGTTCTTCTGAACACTTCAGCTTCACATATTTGGCTGGAGAAATAAAAAATAAAACATTTATATAGATATAGTCACTCAATTTTCTGACTCCCAGCTCAAAATGATGTCGATAACATTTGAAATATATATGGATTTCATATGTGCAAAGTCGTCTATCTATCAGTATATATTCGTCGGATCCCTACCACATTGATGCACCATGGCATAAATATTTGAAATAAAAAAGGCTGTGTTTCATAATGACCTTAACGCGTGACCACGTTAAATGTAAAAATCTAAGAAGACATAAGCATGAGAACAAAGAAAGACAAAAGAAATTACAAAAGAGGACAAGGAGAAGACTGACACAAGCTTCAGCATAAGCATAAACATAACCACAGCAACTTGACATAAGCATAAAGGCTGAAACACACTGGGCAGTCGCTTCAGTCGCGCGTCCAAAGCGAATTGATGCGCACGCGTCAATCGCTTGAACGCTAGAAACACACATGCAGCGACCATCGCGACATTTACCGTGGCGTCTATTGAACATGGCGAAGATTTTAGTTTGTTACAGACACAGATATCACTTAAACTTTTTATTTTGGCCTTTATTATAGCTACTAATATATGAATATTTACTCAGTACAAACTACTATGTGGAGAAAAGAGAACAAGCCAGTTAAAACACGCCTATATGATCATAGCACATTACGCGTATATCGTGGATAATCTTATTCTGTGCATTTAGGTTGTGCATTAGGGTTCCAGTTTGTAGCTTCTATTGTCCCTATTTGATAAGTCATATAAAAACTGAAAGATTCCAGTGTGAATTCACCATACATTGCCTTCGTTTTCCAAGGTATAATAATCTATAAATTTCGTATGATGCTTATGACAGGAAATATGATATGCATTTAGGAAGTTAAAATGTATCTATTGGCCAATCAGTGTAAAGCGACTGAAGCGAGCAAAGTCAAAAGTTCAACATGTTGAACTTTCAAAGCGACCAGTTGACGCGTCTACGCTACTCGCGCGACTAAAGCGACTGCCCAGTGTGTTTCAGCCTTAAGGCAGAACAAAAACAAATTGAAACAAAAATTCCTTTTCTTTTATTTCCTCCAAGCTGTAGAAAATATTCTTTGCTTTGTTTTGTCGCTTTGTCGAAAACAAAATGAGAGCAAAATTTTGCAAATAAACAGTCTTTGTGTTTGTATATTTCGTTGTTTTTTTGATATTGGATGGGATTTCCTGTTCATCTCTTTAAATAAAGGTTGCTTGAGGTGCTTGTGTAACATGTTGATGCATTAATGCAACTGTTGGACTTTACAGGTAATGTAGTAAAAAACAACAGTAGAAAGCGTGATTTTCTAGGATGCGTTGTCCACTAGTACTTTTGATAGAAAAATATACCACATGTTGGAGAGTAAATTCAGACTTTGACATATATCACCATCTTCATATTCAAATTATTCCGTTACAGTTTCAGCCATTTGCGAAATATGAAGATGCTGTGCTTTTTGCTTTTTGTCCATGTGCTGTTTTTGACAGGTAAGCAGAAATAACTCAACAACACTAATTTTTTTCTTCAAACTAATTATATACAGAAAAGTACGAATTTCAAACATACACAATGCCATAGTAGACTTTATAACAATAACCTTATCTTGTATGCTATTTGCCTTTATATTTCATCATTACTTTTGTTCATAGGTGTTGAAAGTAGCAATCCAAACTGGTCTTTGCTATCTGGAAGACTTAAACAACTTGATTTAAGTCCGTACAACATTCTTTGGGGTGTGAATAGTGGTCATGCAATTTGGGTACGTAAAGGCAGTGGATGGACCAGAGTCGGTGGTGCATTAAAACATGTTAGTGTTGGAAACGGTGGAGTTTGGGGAGTGAATAAACATGATAATATTTACTTTCGTGAAGGAGTGACATTCAGCTCGCCAGTTGGCACAAGCTGGACTCAAATATCTGGTACGTATAAATCTTAATTTTAATTCATATATTATTTTAACGAAGACAAACGCAAAGTTACAATAGTATAGCTTTGGGGAACAGTTACACTAGATACACGAGGAATTCTATCAAAAAATGCCACTGGTGATCTATATAGACTATAATTTAAGGATTGGGTATTATTATAGTTGTAGTAGAAAGTCGTTTTAAGAAAAGAAGAAAAACAATTCAATTGAATGTTTTGTCGAATAGAAAAGTTATTGTTACTGAATTTGATTACAAAAAGTATGCACTGGCTTTATACTTCATTTGATGTATTACTTGCGGGTGGATGATTATTTGTAGGCAGCTTGAAGAGGATTCTTAAGAGGACCACTGGGGAAGACGGTGTAAAGCAGAGTTCCCCTTGCCGGATATTGAATTATAATTACATTATGAAGGACGATCGACAATGACTACTTGATATTGTCCAAGTACTTAATTTGAAACACGTTATGTTTGTCACTAGGGATTTCAATGACGCGCTTTCATGACAAATGTAAACAGTAAACACACCATCGAAAATTTCATCTTGTCTGGATATTTTGACTGGCCAAATCTCACCTAAGTTGTTTTTAGTTCTAATGTTAATTTTTTCTTTATTATTCTACATTTTCATCAAGTGTCTTGTCTCGATTAGGCTAAGCCCTCTATAAAATTGTGCTACAGGAAAAAGCTGAGTTCCCTTTGCCGGATTTTAAAATATAATATATAGGATGATTGACAATGCCTACTTGAAATACCTTAAGTATATTATTATGGTTTCATTGACGTTTCAATGGCAAATTTTAACAGTGAACCCACCTCAAAACATTTTGCATTAAAGAATCCACATTTGACATAAGTTTTTCACGACTTCAAAACCACACTAATCATAATGCTAATTATTCACTTCATAATTCTCCATATTAAGTGTCTTTCTTTTTAGTTTAACTGGTTCCATAAAATTGGCTGAAAGAAATCAAGTCTTTCTAAAACTAGAAATATACATTTTACTTGTGCTTTTTCAATAATGTTTGAGAAAAAATTCGTGGAATAATTAATCATTTCTTGAAAATCATATCTAATACCATATCTCCTACGACTTTCCGTCCGTCACGAATGTCATTGTCCGTAATTTTTATCCGCAGTTATTATCCGTCCGTCCGTATCAGCGTTTTCCTTAACCCTCGCCTTTTACATAGTGCACTTGGAACTATACTATCACCTACATTTCCTCAGTTGGAAATCAACGTAAGTATAAGCACAAGATTATCAACTCTCCGTTATTCTTATGTTTAAACCAATTTTATGTTGCAAGTTAGGATCAGCAGTAATTGCTGATAATTGAAATTCGACTCGTGCTGTCGAGTTTATTTCTTGTAATACCTATAATAAGATCTTGTTATGGCTCTGCTTAAAAGTAATAATTAAACGTAAGTTTGTTCTCTTGAACATTCGTAACCTGTAAGTGAATATTGCAACTATTCTGATAGTTTTTGTTTTTGATTTTTATTAGAATATGCCTTATTATTTATAGATATATTACAATGATAAATTTGTGTTCAAGTTTGCTTTCACCTGTATATGATTGAAAACTGTAATATCTGCGTCGACGTAAGCACAAAAAATTAATTAAAAGAGCATAAATGAAAAAATAAAACTACTGCCTTCCCGTAGTAGGAGGTTTACTTTCAATACGTTTTGTCGTTGAACATTACCAATTAAGATTTACAAAATGTCAGTAAAAGCGAGATGACGGTGAAATGGGAGTTTGTGTAAGAATGTAACTGTAAGCAAATGAAAATCTTGGGAAAATCCTGTTACCAAATTTGATTTGACTTAGCAATGATTTTTCATAATTTAAATAGCCAAGGTTTGAGCAAAAATCTTAACACCTGCGTCGACGTAAGCACAAGAAGTAATTAGAAGAGCATAAACCGAAAAAAATAAAACTAAACCAATTCTGAAGCGAAACAAAAACTAAGAGAAATTCTTGCTGTTGATACGTGTGCTTAGGTAGACCAAACAATTTAAAGACAAAAATTTGCATGAGCAATCTCGTGCAATAATTGCTTTGTATTCCTCTTTTCTGCGCCACTGACTTAAGACAATCTTATAATCTGTAAAATCGTCATTTCACTGAAATCATCTTTCAAACTGTTTAAATAAAGTATCTGTGTGAATGTTTTAGCTATGTAAGTGAAAACATTCAGCACTATTCGCTGTAACAATGTATATTAACGTCATATGCAATCAATTGGTTAAATGTGACATTGTGACAAAAAGCAGTTTAAGTGTTAGCAAATATGCCTTAGACTATGTGTGAAATAACATAGTATAGTTGTCTTAAAGGCTCATTACTGATTTGAAATTATTGAGAGATGCTTTCTTTTCTAAATCCATTGGTCAACTTTGACAATTATTGCAAATCTCTTGTGTTTGAAATTAAAGAACTACTGCCTTGCCGTAGTGGGAGGTTTTTAATACGTTTTGTCGTTGAACATTTCTAATTAAGATTTACAAAATGTCCGTAAAAGCGAGATGACGGTGAAATGGGAGTTGTGTACGAATGTAATTGTAAGCAAATGAAAATCTTGGGAAAATCCTGTTACTAAATTTGATTTGACTGAGCAATGATTTTTAATAATTTAAATAGCCAAGGTTTGAGCAAAATCTTAACACCTGCGTCGACGTAAGCACAAGAAGTAATTAGAAGAGCATAAACCGAAAAAATAAAACTAAACCAATTCTGAAGCAAAACATGCAACAAGGAGAAATTTCTTCTGTTGATACGTGTTTTTGGGTAGACCAAATAATTTAAAGACAAAAATTTGCATGAGCAATCTCGTACAATAATTGCTTTTCATTCTTCTTCTGTGCGCCACTTACTTAAGACAATTTTACAATTTGTAAAATCGTCATGTTCGCTGAAATCTTCTTGCAAAAACTGTTTAAATGCAAGTGTCTGTGTGAATGTATTAGCTATGTAAGTGAAAACATTCAGCACCTATGTATCGCTGTAACAGTATGAACGTCATATGCAATCAATTGTTTAAATGTGACATTGTGTCTCAAAAGCAGCGAAGTGTACCAAATGACTATGTGTGAAATAACAGAATAGTTGTCTTAAAGGTCATTACTGATTTGAAATTATAAGATGCTTTCTTTTCTACATCCATTGGTCGCACTTTGACATTTATTGCAAATCGACTAAATTAAAGAACTACTGCCTTGCCGTAGTGGGAGGTTTTTTTTCCATACGTTTTGTCGTTGAACATTTCAAATTAAGATTTACAAAATGTCCGTAAAAGCGAGATGACGGTGAAATGGGAGTTTGTGTACGAATGTAATTGTAAGCAAATGAAAATCTTGGGAAAATCCTGTTACTAAATATGATTTGACTGAGCAATGATTTTTAATAATTTAAATAGCCAAGGTTTGAGCAAAAATCTTAACACCTGCGTCGACGTAAGCACAAGAAGTAATTAGAAGAGCATAAACCGAAAAAAATAAAACTAAACCAATTCTGAAGCGAAACAAAAACTAAGAGAAATTCTTGCTGTTGATACGTGTTCTTGGGTAGACCAAACAATTTAAAGACAAAAATTTGCATTGGCAATCTCGTGCAATAATTGCTTTGTATTCTTCTTCTGTGCACCACTGACTTAAGACAATCTTACAATCTGTAAAATCGTCATGTTCGCTGAAATCATCATGCAAAAACTGCTTAAATGCAAATGTCTGTGGGAATGTTTTAGCGATGTAAGTGAAAGCATTCAGCACTGATGTATCGCTGTAGCAATGTATAATAACGTCATATGCAATCAATTGGTTAAATGTGACCTTGTGTCTCAAAAAGCAGTGAAGTGTAGCAAATGATTACGCGTAAAATACCAGAAAAGTTGTCTTAAAGGTCATTACTGGTTTGATATCATTAGGATTCGGAAGAGCTAGCGCTAAGAACTTGACAAGTTTGCTAAAAATTCAAAGGTAAGCTCGTTAATTTTTATTATAAGATGCTTTCTTTCTACATCCATCAGTTGCACTTTGACTATTAACGTAAATGAACTAAATTAAAGAACAGTATACTGCCTTGCCGTAGTAGGTTTAATTTCAATACGCTTTGTCGTAGAACATTTCAAATTAAGATTTGCAAAATTTCCGTAAAAGTGAGATGACTGTGAAGTGGGAGTTTGTAAGAATGTAATTGAAAGGAATGAAAATTTTGGAAAATCCTGTTAACAAATTTGATTTGACTGAGCAATGATTTTTAATAATTTAAATAAGCTAAAGTTTGAGCGAAAACTGTAACACCTGCATCGGCGTAAGCACAAGAATTAATTAAAAGCGCATAAACCGAAAAAAAGTAAAACTAAACCAATTCTGAAGCGAAACAAAAACTAAAAGAAATTCCTTCTGTTGATACGTGTTTTTGGGTAGACCAAATAATTTAAGCAAATGACTACAATTTGACATTATCAGGCTTCGGTTAAGCTAGCGTTAAGTAGTGGACAAGTTTGCTAAAAAGTCACAGGTAAGCTGGTTAATTTTAGCTATAAGATGCTTTCTTTCTACATCTATTGGTCGCACTTTGACAATTAACTTAAATTAACTAAATAAATGAAGAACATCAAGGTTTGTAAAAATTTTCCGGAAAAAACACTTCTGGTGAAAGACCAATATCATAGCTAAGTTTATATAGACGGACCAATATCATAGCTTAGTTTCGATGAGCACCACCATGCTCTTGATCTTAATTGAGATTGCTCTATAGTATGAAAAATATTAGGAAAATATAGAAAATCAAAATGAATCATAATCAAAATCAAGATTAAGTATATTTTTCTTGATATAACTGGGCTATCTTTGTCAATTAATAAGTAGGAAATATACGTTTACTTCGTAATCTGTTTGAAAGAGATAAACAGGAAATCCCATCCAAAATAAAAAAGAAATAAAGACATATGCTCAAAAGAAAGACCGTATATTTTAAATTTGATGAAAGATCTGAAGTTTTACTCATCCGAAAATTGATTTATTAAACAAAGTGAATCTAAGTCTAAACTAACATCTACAATAAGCATATACTAAGAGGCAGCACTTCAAAGCACATTATATGCGCATTTGAATGTCATTATTACAAAGAGTGCCTGACGGCACTTCAATTATAATAACATTTCTGGGATGTGTATTGTCCACTAGTACTTTTGATAGAAAATATAGCACATGCTAAAGAATAAATTAAGACTTTGACATATATCACCATCTACATAATCAAATTATTCCGTTACAGTTTCAGCCATTTGCAAAATATGAAGATGCTGCTTCTTGCTTTTTGTTCATGTGTTGTTTTGACAGGTCAAGAAATAATTCAACAACACTAATTGTATACATATTTTTTTATACGAACTAATTGTATACTTAAAAGTACGAATTTCAGCATACACAAAGCCATAGTAGACTTTATAACAATAACGTTATATTTCATGCTATTTGCCTTTATATTTCATCATTACTTTTGTTCATAGGTGTTGAAAGTAGCAATCCAAACGGTCTTTGCTATCTGGAAGACTTAAACAACTTGATTTAAGTCCGTACAACATTCTTTGGGGTGAATAGTGGTCATGCAATTTGGGTACGTAAAGGCAGTGGATGGACCAGAGTCGGTGGTGCATTAAAACATGTTAGTGTTGGAAACGGTGGAGTTTGGGGAGTGAATAAACATGATAATATTTACTTTCGTGAAGGAGTGACATTCAGTTCGCCAGTTGGCACAAGCTGGACTCAAATATCTGGTACGTATAAATCTTAATTTTAATTTATATATTATTTTAACGAAGACAAACGCAAAGTTACAATAGTATAGCTTTGGAACATTTACACTTGATACACGAGGAATTTCTATCAAAAATGCCACTGGTGATCTATATAGACTATAATTTAAGGATTGCGTATTATTATAGTTGTAGTAGAAAGTCGTTTTAAGAAAAGAAAAAACAATTCAATCAAATGTTTTGTCGAATAGAAAAGTTAATGTTACTGAATTTGATTACAAAAGTATACTGGCTTTATCCTTCATTTGATGTACTTGCGGTGGAGGATTATTTGCATGCAGTTTGAAGAGGATTCTTAAGAGGACCACTAGGGAAGACGGTGTAAAGCAGAGTTCCCTTGCCGGATATTGAATTATAATTACATTATGTAGGACGATCGACAATGACTACTTGATATTGTCCAAGTACTTAATTTGAAATACGTTATGTTTGTCACTAGGAGTTTCAATACGCGCTTTCATGACAAATGTAAACAGTAACACACCATCAAAAATTTCATCTTGTCTGGATATTTTGCCTCGCGTCTCACCTACGTTGTTTTTAGTTCTAATGTTAATTTTTCCTTTATTATTCTACATTTTCATCAAGTGTCTTGTCTCGTTTAGGCTCCGCCCTCTATAAAATTGGCCCGCTACAGAAACAAGCTGAGTTCCTTTGCCGGATTTTAAAATATAAAATATAGGATGATTGACAATGCCTACTTGAAATACCTTAAAGTGCTTATTACGAATTTTAGCCCCTTTTTAGCTTAATTGAAAAGTTATTGAAGAAATGACATGTCGCTGGACTTAAACAGATAAATATAAGTTCCTTAATTTTGCCTCCAAGTCGGGTACTATTTGCGATTTTTACGACGCCATATTGATACTTGTGACGTAGATAGTTGAACACTCTGTTTCCGTCAATATAATATTAAATTATAGGAGGTGATTTTGTTGTCGTTTTTTCTTGTCTTAAAACAAATAATGACAGTATTTTCAATAAAATTTAAAAAACAAGTTTTCCGGAAAGTATGGCCTCAAAATCAGTGCTCAGATAATTCAATTCGATGTCTGAATGCGTATCTGATTTGAGCTCGGAATCCGTGGGTTATGTCAGCATTTAAACGACTTCGCATATGACGATGAACCGCTCGCAGGAGATGGTGATGAAGTGCATACTCCAGATGATCATGGAATTCTCCATGCGACATTAGAACAACGAAGTGATGGCGTAATTCCACTCGGTGAATGGTAAGTTGTTGTTTTCTCCTGTTTGTAATATACATAAAGTTACTTTATAAACCAGAATGCTCCCACGTTTCAGGTGTAATTGTCAATGCTGTCATACCGATTTGTTAGAAGGCGCATTAGAGTACTGATGCTGTAAGGAAATTGACCACTTTGCAGAAAATGACATTCGATAGCATTGAGAAAATATCATGCATAAGGCATGCCAAATTTGGGCCTTTAGTTCATGAGCTGTCCTAAAACGTCGGGCCACTATTGAGGATAGGAATGGACGTGCTTATCGCCGCCAAGCATCACAATTTTAAATATATAGATTGTAAATTGTATGAGAAACAATTTAATCAACATTGTTTCATCAACAATAATTAGTCCAACCTTTTATTTACTTCAGGTACTTGAGAGCTGTGGCATACAGATGGTTGATGCGATGGTTTTGTGGGTCTATGGGATGGGAGAATACGGCCTTTACCTGCTTGTGTTTAACTTTATTGGAAAGCATATCAAGTGGTAACACAACAGGTTAGATACCATCAGAGGGCGTGATGGAAAGTCTTTTAACTTGTACTGTAGAGAATGTTGACCTATTTGCTGATTTTGGAATGGTCAGGAAATATGCCTAGATGAAAACCAAATAGGAGATACATGGATGCACTATAAAGTTGACATGCAGTATGGTTTGAAACAAGAGTAAACAATAAAAACAAATTGGTGCAACAACTAGAGGTTAAGCTGAAAAATTAAATGAAAGAAAATCTTTTCTTCAGTGTCAGTCTGGGAAAAAGACAAAAGAAAAATATATGGAATTAATCATAGCATAAATGTAAAATGGAAAATAGAAGCCGTTCATATGGCGAATCATTTGCTTCCCAGTGCATACTTCAACATGCTCAGCTCCATCACTAGTAGATGGTACTTCCTCATTGAGAGAACATGTTTCCTTCAGCTGATGGCTTATGGAGAGTATGTCGAATAATCTACAAAACTTATATCGAATTTACATATGACAAAAGAAAAATCATAAAAAGCATAAACTTACTTGTCTTGATTTCGATCGGTTATTTCGTCCTGTAAGGTTCAGGAATCCCAGCCACGTCAATGGTTGGGGTCAGCATCTTTCAACCTTCTTTTGAGCTTGACTTGAACGCTCAAATTAAAGTCAAAACAAGAATCTTCAAAATGCGCAGAATACAGACACGCAGGTAGGGATGCCTCAAAACCGGTCTATGTTTACCAAAATTTACCATTTCTATGTCTTTGCGTCTCTGTTCTTTTTAGGATGCATCGACATTCCTTCGGTTTTGAATACTGGCGCAACTAATTTGATTAGGTCCGCCAGCACAGCGTTTTCCTCCTCGTTTCTTATTAAGATTACTAGTAGAATACGCATGTTGATATATGTGTTCAAATTTCTACGTCACAAGTCAATAGCTTACCGATCAAAAGTTCGCAAAAATGCTGAAAATCGTGACTTTGACGTCCGTAAAATCACTTTCACCAATCAATTTCAATTATAATTGCAGATTTAAAATCACAAACAAGGTCTTTCAACTTAGCCTAATGAAAAGGGGCTAAAATTGTATTATAAACACTTTAAGTATATTATTATGGTTTCATTGACGCTTTCATAGCAAATGTAAACAGTGAACACACCATCAAATGATATTCATCTAGTTTGGATATTTTGTCAATCCACATTCGACCTAGTTTTTGACAAAGGGAACCACACTTCTTAGTTTCATGAATTAATTTTCACTTCTTCTTCACCATTTTTATTAAGTTTTATCTTGTCTCGTTTAGTCTCCGCCTTCTATAAATTGGCCTTTACAGGGGAAACAAGTCTGCTTCTTTACAGCAACTAGAAGCGTAGACAGTTTTACAACACTAGTGGCAAAGGCCATCACGATCTTTACCCATTAACATAATTTTCAACAAAAACTATAATTTATTTCATTGAAAATTCAATTTCATTTATAATTGTCTTCCAGTGATTCTACAAAAATATTTGCATTGTGAAGACAAAAATGAACTGGCTTCGCAACAGTCTAAGACTTGCATCATGTAGTCAGTCAACAAACTTATCACCGCTCTTTTCACAAGAGTATTTGTAATTTATATTCACTTCTATTTTACAGCTATGTCTATTGGTTTTCAATAGTTCTTTGAAGAACTATTCAATTTTCATTCACTACGACAAATACATTTTAAAAGCAATTTTCACTCGTTGTAGAGTTAAGTATTTGCATTAACTTTTATTCAGGAAGATTAATGCAAATTGATTCGGGACCTACAGGAATTGTGTATGGTATAAGATTTGGGTATAGCATATACTGCAGAACTGGAATGCATCCAATCTCAAAGGAACTGGCTGGAAACGTGTTCAGGGCATTAAAATATGTCAGCTTTGGAAAATTTGGCTGCTGGGGTGTAAACAACAACAATTATATCTATTTTCGAACGGGAGTAACTCTTCTAAATGTCAAGGAGATACTTGGAAACGTATTCAGGATCCTAAAACAAATTGGGTCAGCATTTTTGATAATTGTGATTTTTTGGCTGGAATTTTGTAACAAATATAAAACAAAGCCACTATCCTTTTGTTTTATTGTAATTTTTATGGAAATGATAACTGTATAAATTGATATTAAATTCATTCTTTGAAAAATTGAACACATATGAGTTTAATTTCAGGAATTTTACAAAATTTGCTTACCGAAACTGTACTCTTTTCTATCCGTTAACGTTAGACAGACTGCTTTTTATCTTGTATTCCCTTTGAAATTGGTCTTCTTTAATCGAGTTGAATCTTATTTGATCAAACGTATGTATACAAAGTAATATGTGAAAGTTTATCAGCAATACTTAATATTAAGGAATAGGTATGAACTTTGAAGAACAATATTGCAACTAACAAGCAACTGTATCAAAACATACCGGAGCAAAATATTATAATACAGGGCTTGCTCAACCCTTTAAAAACAAATTCAGTTTTGTGATAAACATATGTTATCTTCAAACAAAATATAATTGGTATATATTTTGATAATGCCAATTCAATGCCATTTAAAATGAGAGATCCTGCTCCAAGAAAGAGGTGTTCTCCCATCTCCATACGCTACCCCATCTTTACATACAACACCACTCGCTTGCACTAAAAATGTGTACCAACTTTTTATTTATAGGCGACAGCAAGTGGTGCTGTTTACGGTGTGAACATTCACAGAACATTATATGTTCGTGAAGGAATTCGCTCCTGTAATCCTACTGGAACACATTGGAGATCCATTGCTGCTCCCAAGTTTGATCACGTGTCAGCTAGCTTATCTCATGTATTCGGAATTGTCAAAATGACAAAATCTTTAAGTTTAATGGTAAGTAGAAGTATGCCTTAGTAGGTAGTTTCTTGATCATTAACATAGTAAGATTTTGTGAGAGGGCAGTGGTTGCTCATATTTATTTATGTATGTTTTATCTATTGAGAAAAACGAATTTCAAAGTCTTGCATATATGAATATGTATACTTCTCCAATATCGATCTTACAACGCTCTTGTGTTTGAAATTTTAGTAGCAAATTCTTTGCACATTGATGATTTGGTTATGTTAGAATTCATTTTGGTTTGTTGCCAAATTCTAAACAATATTTAAAACCGTAAATGTGTCCAAAGGATTAATTAGCAGTAAAGAATTGTGAATTATACACATGAATTTTGACCAAACTGTAATATGTTATGGCTTTTCTCGTAATATCATTAGTCCAGTGGTCTTCCTCCTCGATATTTTGCATGTACGTATATACTTTCACTGAGCTGTTTTTTATGCACTAAACGTATAAAAAATGAAAGGATTTTCCATTATTTATCAATTTATTTTATTCAGTATGGTCTCATACATCATTGAAAATTTGCGTTGTTTCCGACACTATAACAGGACACTATTAAAGAAACAGAAAATATTTTCCGAGTTTCTGTAGAGTTTTAAAACATGCAAGAAAGAGAGAAATGAATACTTTCATAAGCAACTTCAAGTTTTTTCCAAATTTCACAAGTGTTTCTATCATTAAATACGAAAAAGTATTAGATGTCGTATACTTCTATTATATCATAGGCATTTTGTAAACAACATGAAAAGACTAATATACAAATTTTAATAATAAATAGTCTTTATTTTCGTCATTAAAATTTCCCACCGAACCACAAAACCTATCAGTTTATTGCCTAAATAAATTTCTCATGCATTACAGAACAATGGCGTTTGATCGCAGGCTCATTGAAACAGATTGATCACGGTCTTTCTGTTGGTGTGTGGGGTGTGAACCGCCATGACAATATTTACCGCCTTAAAGAAGATTATTCGTGGACTCAAATTTCTGAAGCCTTAAACACGTTTCTGTTGGTGCAGCTGGTGTTTGGGGAGTAAATAAACACGATAACATTTATTATAATTTGGGGGGACATTCTTGGAAACAAATCTCAGGAAAGTTGAAACAAATTGATTCTGGTCCAGAAGGAATTGTATATGGAGTGAACAGTAACGATAACATTTATTGTCGTTTAGGTATTTACTTATTATTTTTATAAGTGGCTGATGTTTGCAAAGTTTCTCACAGTACACTAATATTTTCTAACATAAGTAGTATGCAGGTACCCTATGCAGATAAAAGTTATTCTAACTGTTATCTCCAATAAACAAGCGCATTTTGAGGAAAAGCGCCAGCAATACTTTATTGAAAATGCATGTTTCTTATTTTTCTAGGAATCTCAACTAATAACCTCCAAGGAACAGGATGGAAGCAAGTTCCTGGTGCATTGAAATACGTTAGTTGCGGTGCCTTGGGATGCTGGGGTGTAAATAGACATAATCAAATTTGGTATCGTTCTGGTGTATCAACACAGAATTGTGCTGGAACACGTTGGACTCGTATCGGAGGAAGCCTTAAGCAAATCGAGGTTTGTAATCACTACATTTCTCATGATATGTGAAACAGCATGCTGCATGCAGCTTTTCCTGCTAAAGGCATTTTGTGTTATTGTATGAAATATTTTTGTGACAAGACATTTGCTTTTGAATTGTTTTTTTCTTAATAAAAACTTATGTTAGGCTAAAATTGGCAATTCTTAACGCCTTTAAATAAAATATATCGCAAGATTGTAATGACTTTCTTTCAACAATAATGTTAGTATGTTGAGCTATTTTAATTTTATGTCATGTAATTTAGATTATTTGCTTTCTGTCTTTGACAAGAATATATGTGAGAACGAATACATTAGCAAATTAAATAACTAACATTTCAGTCTTCAATTTACTTAAAGGAAAAGTAATGTTACGAAGGAAGCATGCAAACTTTTATTTTGAAAGAAAAGTAAAACTGTCCTATCTTTAACGCTTTGTACTGTGATTAGCTTTCATTAAGACACATTCTGTTTTATTTTATTGCATTCTCCTTCTAATGAGGTAGTATTCAATTGTTTATAACCAATGTGGGCTTGGTAGCTCAACAGGTAGAGGGCGGACTACTATCCCGAAGGTGCAGTTCAAATCTCGAGTTCAAGTCGCATGTTTTCATGTGCATATTAAAACCTTGTTAGGATTAATATATTATAACCACTACGGTTCCTATAAAGTTAATATTTCCTATCTTTAGTGAAGAATTTTAAAAATATTCTTTTTAAGGCTGGAGAAGTTGGTGATGTATATGGGTAAATAAGTAACTCGTGGTCTACCGTCGAACTGGGTATAACTACGGCATCTCAATGGGCTCAGGTTGGGAAGTTGCTTTGTCGTATGCTTCATTCGTGACCACTGGCCTGAATAATAAGTATGTTTTGATAAATGGAGCAATTTTTGAATCCAAGGTATGTGTATAATACTTGATGAAAATAACGAGGCGTATTTTCAATTAATAAGCCATCGATAACCGAGCGCGAGGTCGGAAAAGTATCGGACCGAGGTCCTTTTGTACAGAGTTTGGTCTGTACAAAAGACAGAGGTCAGATATTTCTCAGACCGAAGAAAGTTAGGTTGTTAGAAGGTTTATTACATGGCATTATTTAACCTGGAACGAAGCTTGCTTTCTTTCTCGTCTTGGCTGTTTTCTACGGGTTGACATTCACTTTTCTAGTTTTTGTCAGTAAAAATTTAACGGTTTCCAATTGTATCGTTTTTTTGACTTACATTTGTAAATGGTTTTCCGTTTTGCTGTTTGAAAACTACGCGATTTGGACCTTGGTCCATTACGGAAGATTATGGATCAGTTAAAATGTTTCTGTGCCAATCAACTGAGCCTAGAAAATAATGTATTTCATAGTTTGCTTTTTTTTACCTTACTTTGAAAATTTAAAACTTAACTATGTTTTTTTATAGCTTGTCGAAAGCAATTTCCTTGAAAATTCAGCAAAATTCAACAGTAACGTGATGAAAGAAAAATGATTAACATTTTCCAAATCTAGCGTAGTTGTTCTATTTGTTTCTTGATAGTTTGTATGAGTGCTATGTAGCGTAAAAATAAAACGTACTTTTTTGTTATAATAAAAACCGTATCGCAAAAAAACCTGCTCTTCTTGAACTTTTTCATTTTACAGTGAAAAATATATGACGTACAGCTCCTTCCTCATTAACCCTCCCCTCTCCTCATTATTTCTTATTGTTATAATAAGTTGAGATCAGGGGCGGATCTAGAGTATGTCAAATCCGTCGCGCGACTGATGTTTGAAATTCAAAAATTACTATTCATATTAATTAAAAACTCATTAATTATTCTTACTTTATTATCGAATTTACTTCGTTATGAAAATCCAGCTTTATTTATTATTGAAAACTAATGACTAATCCAATGAATATCTCGTTGGTAACCAGATCAGTTGAATTTTAATTGACCTGGAATAACCGACTGATAAGCGGGGTGGCTTGACTGGTTCGACGGATAAAGGAGTCTATGAACGCCAAAAACGCTTATTTTATTGGTCAATGGCCAGATCAGTGGACAGTCTGGAATGGTCTCGACTGATAATAGGGGTGGCCGGACGTATAAGGGAGTCCAATTGCTATCTTACAATTGGTTCATTTGAATTTTTGTTTCATTGTGATTGGTTTGACGGATTTCGACTGATAGCCAACTGAACTAACATAGTCAAGCTCACTGTCTGAATTGAATGTTTGATCGTTTCATGGTAATTTTTATAAGCATTATAGAAACTAAACTACAATCAGATGGAATTTATGGAAATCTTTTACAAATTCATATATTGACACGAATACTGCTGTCCAAACTGTGAATTTTTTCAAGAGGGTGAAAAATTTATGGATAAATTGTAAATGCTTGGCAAAGACGATCTCGCGAGCGACATTTCAGTCACTGATGTTCAAAAGAAAGCCAACATTGTTTTGAGTTTTATCAGCAGAAATTTACATCCAAAATTGTAAGTAAAGGACAAGTGAAGTGTATGCATGAATGTAATATATCAAAGTCAATTTATGCGAGTGTGTGATGCGATTTATGTCAATATGGCGTAGGGTAAGCAGATTGATGCTTCTAAAATTGTTGTTGCCGAAGGACTTTTAGCTATGATTTCTTTAGTGCTTGGGGAATCGTGGCCGTTATATGGCAGCGAAATCCTACATTCCTGCAAATATATTTCAATGGACAAAAAATCTGTAGCCATAAGGCGCCATACTATTATTTACTTTATCATAAACAAATGTTTGAGGCTTTTCAGTTTATCATCATTGATCATTCAATCATTGGACAGTTATACTACATATTGTTTAAGATTTGAGAAAACTAACATTGATTGCATGAGAAGCTGTTTACTATAACCTGTGATTTTGAGTCTTCTGATCCATGAAGCTTTTTATTTTGACAATTTGACTGAAATGGTATTAAACCTGAGTATTTCACATGCATGAAATGTTGTCACATGTCACATATTGTCCCCTTTTCTAACTGAACACCTCATGTACAGATGCAAAGGTGTGTTAATCTACGGCTCATACCAGATTGTTTGCCATAAATTCCAAAGGGCTATTGATGTATGAAAAGCATTTTCTATAAAGTAAACATGTCTTTCTATGTATGCAGATAAACCTTGAAATTTGGCAAAACAGCAAAGTATTTTTCATGATCACTAGGTAATTTTTCTGATGATCATTGTAATTTCTAAACTAAATTATTTCAGATTTACATTTAAACGAGCTTTGATCATATGAAAAGATATTTATCATAACCAGTAAGCATGACACATGAACCAATTTTAACATTCATGTAATTATATAATTAAAGACATGCTGGTTACATTCTGTTTGTATTTGCAAATACAATACTACTAGTGATTGCTATATAGCACACCTTGCATATACTTACAGAAGATAATAGTCTAGTGAAATGCGTAATAAACATTTATGGCATTAAGCTGTCCTTAACTGCAAATTTTCACTCTGATAATTTTTGCTTAATCTTTGGCAGAAAAAAAATTTGAGTTTTTTCTCAAAAAGTGAATTTGCTGGCATTGATGTGGAGATGGGTAAAGGGTTACAATAAACTTGCATGGTTTGAAGTCTGAGCTTTTCTATATCTATGAACTGTCACTTGTAGTACCAAATTTCTAACTTAACTCATTACAAAGAGGTTTGAATGGGGGTCTCTAGGGGGAGTCTATGCCTGACAACTTGGTAGAAATTTTTAAAGACTATATCTGTTTTTGAATAGCATTATTGTAAAATAAATTTTACGTTCCTAGACATGCTAATGAGCCATATATTTGGCATGATAATGAGCCTAAATATTGGGCAAAACATTCAAGTATTGTTCACTTCAATATTTTTTTGAAAAAACGTAAGAAAAATGTGTGGTTTTTACGCAAAAACGATACCCACAAAATACATTTTGTATTGCTCTAAAACGCTGAAAATGTCATTTTCAAGGCTCTGAAATTCAAAATTTCTCAGGGGAGAATGCCGCAGACCCTCCCCCGGGTGCGGAGCGCCTCCGACGTTTTATGACTGATGTTTGAAAAATCCTAGATCCGCCCCTGGTTGACATGTTCATTTGTTTTATATATTCTAAGACTTAAAGATTCCAATCCCACTTGCCGTTAATTTCAGTGGAACGATTGACATTAACATGCTTATAATGCGTGCCATATAATTTTAAAATTTGAAAGGGAGTGATCAATTTATAATGAAAGAAATTTGTTGCTTTTTTCAAGATATGAGAATGCTTTGCAAAACGACTGCACTTGGCGTCAGTTGATTTTGACTTAGATTGGGTATGCCATCTTCGAGTCTTTGTTTTCCTATCTCCTTTGAATGAATTATGACATGCGTTTCATAATAAGCAAATATATATATAACTGCAGTTGGAAACGTTCCCAATAAGCAACATAAATGCACAAGTAAAATGTAGTTTATGTTCAATTTTTACGCTTTATACATTAAGTATTGTTTGAAAAGCTTGACAACGGCTCTTTTAAATCTGACTGTACCAAACACGTAGAATATTGGGTTGAAACAACTATTGAGAGATGAAAAAGTGTAAATTCTCGATCGATTTGTCATTTGTTGGCTGTTATGGGCACCTTTCAGTAATGATGCGTATGCAATGTAAGTAACAACTGGAAAGAACGTCATAAGATAAAAATACACTAGGATAAACGTATTCAATGTTATCTTCAGCATAACGTGATATTTCAGTCGAGCGCACCTTGACGCTGTTTGACTTCTCCAAAACCGTTTTCCTTGCTTGTATGAAGAACAAAATATAGGCACATAGGTTAATGTTATCAAAATCATCAGTACTAAATGAATAGAAACCCAGAATATCAACCAAAGATGATATTGTTTACAAATATACGCAAATGTGTTAATTATTCCTATACCCAGAAGTACAAACCAGCACGCGATGACCATTTTCAAAACTGTCTTCTTTACAATCATAGTTTTGTATTTCAATGGTAACATTAAAGCCAAATAACGATCCAAAGCAATAAGAAAAATATTTAATCCACTGCTTAATTGAACGAAAATATTAAGACTTTCGTGATAAAAATAATAGTCATCCTGTATGCGACCGGACTGAATGGTTATTGTCAACCAAGTTTGGAAAGTTGCTAAATATATAAAATCTGCGATAGCCAGGTTTAAAATGAGAACATCATTTGGATATCTTCTAAGTTCGTAAACAAGCAAAAAAGTTGCGACAACAAGCATGTTGAAAAATCCACCGATGATGATATGAAGATAATTAAACATTAGGAGAATAAGTCTCTCTTCTTTAGCCATGATCAGTTCATATTTTTCTGAACTTTCATTATCGTAGGAGCTCATTTTTTATTTACTGATGGTTCACAAACAATTTTTTCATAAATAATTTATATGTTTTCTTTATGTCTACAAGCCAGCTACTTTGACACTGGCAATTATAAAATGCAACACTTGATAATTTATTTAAAATTTGTGAATAATAATATCAATAAGGCGTTATACCCTAATTGGCAGTATTTGCTACGTATATTGCCTGCTTATCAACATAACTAATATGCACTGGCTGAATGCACCTGATGTATTTTCTCTAAATCAGGGGATAACATCTCGGAAAAAAAGTGGGAGAAAGTTTTCTAGTGTTTGGTTTAACAGAAAAGACAACAATTTTAGCAGGACCAATATTTTTGTTCTCTCTCAGTTTTTAGACAAACTTCACTTTATTTTTTACTAAATCTGTATGAAACTCACCCATTCCCACTCCCCTTCACTACACCTCCCAGAGTCTAAGTGTTGTCTCAAGCTGAAACTTTCATGTACGGTGATGAAAACTGTTGAGTATAGATTTAAATATTTGTTTGAATAAAAACCAAAATAGTGGAAAAGA